AAACCCAAAGTGTCTCTGTTCTACAGCACTATCCAAGGCTGAGTAAGTCCTGCCCTCCCCTTGTTTAGAATTAGAATCCCAATAGTGTGGAAACGGGCCATTCGACCCAACAAGTCCACACTAACTCTCTGAAAAGCATCCCACCAGACTCTCATTTTCTGAAGAAGGGTCCAGACCCGAAATGTCAGCTTTCCTGCCTCTCTGATGCTGCTTGGCCTGCTGTGTCATTCCAGTCCTACACCTTGTTATCCACCAGACTCTCTCACCTGCTGTGTCCCAAAAACCCTGCATTTCCCATGGTTAGTCCACATAACCTATACATCTCAGGATACTGCGGATGATTTAGCAGGCCAATCCATCCAAACTGCACGTCTTTGAACCGTGGAAGGAAACACATGGAGACACAGGGAGAATGCGCAAATTGTACACAGACAGTTGCCCGAGGCTGGAATCGAACCCAGATCTGTGGCTCTGTGAGGCAGCAGTGCTAACCACTGAGCCAGCATGCTGCCCTAAAATGCAATAGCTTGCACTCCATCTGTCCTTTGTCAGCCCATAAACCCAACTGATCAACATCTCTTTGTAATCGTAGATAACCTGTCCACGAAACCATAACATTTGGTGTCATCAACAAACTTACTAACCATGCCTTCTATATTCTCATCTATATCATTGATATAAATGACAAACACAAGTGGACCCATCACCGATCTCTGTGGAACACTGCTGGTCACAGGGCTCCAGTTGAATAACATCCTTACACCACCATACCCTGTCTCATGTCATTAAGTGAATTAAATTGGCAAGCTCACTATGAATCCCATGTGAGCGAACTTTACAAATTTGTCTACTATGCGGAATTTTGTCAAGGGCTTTACTAAAGTCCAAGTAAACAACGTCTACTGCTCTGCGCTCATCGGTCTTGGTTCCTTCATCAAAAAAACTCAATCAAATTTGTGAGACATGATTTCCCTCACACAAAACCATGCTGACTATCCCGAATCATTCCTTGCCTCCGCAAATGCTATCTTTCAGTATCACCTCCAATGGCTTACCCACAGCCAAAGTCAGACTTGTTGGTCTATAATTCCTAGGCTTCTCCCTACATCCCTTCTTAAACAAAGGCAAAACTTTAGCCACTCTCCAGTCACCTGGCACCTCACCCATATTTATAGATGATACAAATATTTCCGCGAGGAGCCCCGCAATTTCCACCCTTACTTTCCACAATGCCCTGGGATACACTAGATCAGGTACCAGAGAATTATCCACTTTTTATATTTTCTAAGACCTTCAGCACCTCCTCTCCTGCAAAGCAAACTGTTCAAAACATCAATATTTATTTCCTTGAGTTCTCTAGCCTCCTTCAGTCCAACTTGTCCATGTCGACCAGGTTTCTCAAATTGAACTAGTCCCACTTGCATTTGATCCATACCTCTCTAAACCTTTCCTACTCATGTACCTATCCAAATGTCTTTTAAATCGTGTAAGTGTACCTGCATCTACCACTTCCTCTGGAGGTTCATTCCATATAAAAACTATCCTCTGTCTGAAAATGTTGCCTATTATTTCCCTTTAAATCAATCTCCTCCTTAAGAATGTACTCTCTAGTTTTGGAAAACTCTATCCAAGAGAAAAGACCGTTGCTGCTCACCTTTGTCGTTTACCCCTCAATTTTCAAACCTCTACAGAGTCACCCCTCAACCTCCTATGTTAGAGTGCAAAAAGTCCCAGCCTATCCAGTCTTTCCTCATAACTCAAACCCTCCAGTCCTGGTGACATGTATGCTGTAAGTGTAGCATGTAGCCACACACAGTAGAACGTCAATCCAGCCGCAAGAAGCATCACCTAGTTTCCATTTCTTTGGCCCTTGGTCAAATAGTTTAGCAACAGGAACTGTCCAGTTTCACACATGGAGAGTGAATGTTTGGGCTAGCTTTCTCCACAGTCAAAACTGATGTGAAATAGTTATTTTATATCTCTCCCATCTGCCGAGTTTCAACACAAAGACATCCTCCTTGATCGTTAAGGTGCCCAACTCTCTCCAGTTGCTCTCTTGCTCGATATGTACTTGTTGAATCTCTTTGGATTATCCTTAGCCTTGGCAGATAAAGTTACCTCATGCCCTCTCTGCCTTTCTGATCTCCATCTTAAGAAATCCTCTACACTTTTTATACTATTCAAGAAGTTCATTTGAACCTAGTTGTCTAT